GTTGTGACCCGACTCCATTGCTTTCTAACGGATCCATATACAAACACTACTGTTACGTCGTTACAGGTCACGTGTACATTCCCGCGTTTGTAAATACATAAAAGAAGCCCTTTCCAATTCAAAATTTCATTTGACGCTTCGATTTGAATTTCAACAACAAAATGGGGAAACGATTGCGCGGAGCCAAATCGATTTGCTGCTGTGCGTCTCCTCGTTTCTCTTCGTCATCCATCTCTTCATTTTCATGGTATAATTTCATCATGACTGCATAGCTCTGTGTGTAATTTTGAGCTAATGTACGCCTAATTTTGGTCTATTCGAAGATTTTTTTTTATGTGTACAAAATTTGTATATGTATAGTTGAAGTTCATGTGTTTGGTTGTTGATTTACAGTGGTTCTGGATGTTCATTTCCAGTTAATTTTTAGTCCTAGTTAAGCTAATTCAGTAGATTTGCAAGTTGTAGTTGAAATTTTGGATCGAAGTTTGTTTGATTAATCGGTGAGCGTGAATCTATGTCAATGTACTCTGATTTGATTGCTTGTTCGTGAGTTTATGATTTACGTAAGTGTGTTTTCATCGTATGAGTTACATTTGAAACAATTGTTTTAGTATCCGTTGATTTACGAATTTGATGTAAATTTATTACACGTTTATCTCTGTTTGTGCGTGTGCTCCATTGATAAATTGAAGGAACTTCATCTGTGTTATGTTGCTTTTGATCTCAATGAAATGGAACTAGGCATGAAGAGGACATATGGACAGAAATTGCCAAGTATTTGGACGGGAAGTCTTTGGTGATGTTGGCAGCAACCAGCAAATGGTTCCTCCGTGTTGTAATGGATGAGAGTGTTTGGAAATTTGCTTGTCTGCGTGATCTTCAGGTCCCTGATTGCTCTGAAACAGCATTTAAATGGATCAATCTTTATGCTTCAGCTTTTGGTAAACATAGAGCCTCCTACTATATGCTTTACATTGTCTGTCCTGTAGATTTACTAGTGCATTATGATTGAGAACGTACTGCGTATCTCATATCAATGATTGATTATGCAGGTGGAAGCCATTCTTATGATTTTCGTCAGAAGGAGAAGCATATTGGTAACCTTTGCGTTTAATTAGAATTTAAATTGCTGCATGAACTTGGTTAATCTTAAAAAACTTGGTTAATCAAAGATTTAAATGACAAGTTCTTTTAATTTGTTCAGCAATGGCAAATGCATTAATGTTTGTCCAGCATGGATTTATGCTATGGTACAAAGCATCTCCCCGTTGGTCACCATGTTTGGTTTCTGAGAATACATGATTAGAAACTGCAACTTGGAAACCATAAGAGGATTAGACTTAATAATGCATGCATTAGCTTCTTCCTGTAGGTTGTTACCAGTGTTTTGATAAACTATAGGAAAGTAAAAACCATGGTCTATTAGAAAGTATGTAGAAAGAAAAAGTAAGGAATTCACTAAATAGTAAATAGTATATGTGGACATGAAAGAAGGGTGCATATGAATGACACTTTGAACTTGCATATCAGACTGGATGAGAATAGGTGCATTTTGCATCAACTCATCAGATGCATTCCTGATGGAGAATCTCATCTGCCCTTCAAAGCTTCCAAAAGAAGATACCATGCAAAATATGTTGAACACTTATGGGTCCTGTGTATTGCACAACATCAAAACTGGAATATGGATAGCAGGTAATACCTTGAAAACTATTCAAAGCATGATCCTTATTCACACCAACTCAATTAAATCCTTTTGTTTTTTTTTATTTTCAGATTTACAGCTTGTTCGGTGCCCTGTCTGTGACCTGAATACATGTGATGGTGAGAAAACAGTTACATTACAATTTACATGCTTGAAGTTAGAAAATCAACCAAAGCTCTTAAATTATGTATGAGATATGAGATGTATTGTATTTGTTGCATTCAGGAACAATGCAGGTACTGGATGTGAGACACGTGGAGCTGTTCCTGACTGAAGGGTACCAGACGGGAAGCTGGGAGTACAAATTGATAGGATCTCATGATATCAGAAAACATTCAGACAGTGCTTCTGGTGGCATTTTTGACATCAAGTATCTCAAGAGTCCATCTACAGCTGGTATATATAAAAGTGTTTTTTACCAAAACGAGTTCAATTAACAGAGCCTACAAATTAGTCTTTTTTTTTTCTGAGCAGAGCTTTTCAATCTCAAGTCATGGGTGGGTAGTCCCAATGACTGGCAGCCCAAAGCCATGGTAACTTACCATGCAGTTGCTATCAACACCAATTTACAAGAAAATGAAGGTAAAATAAGCATCTTTATTTAAAATTTAAATCAATATTCAGTTTGATTGCCAATTTTCTATCATATTTTTGTTTTTATATATGTTGCCCCAAAAGTTACATACACCAATAACCTAAATTAAACTAGCTATTTTGTATTGGGAAGCAGGCCTTCACATCAAATACCATGTAATGACATCTGGAGACACTGGTGAAGTTGTCTCCATCCGTATCTCACAGCAACTGCTGTAAATACCAATTTCAAAGAAACCCACTTCTTATCGCTAGCTCTCATATAAAGGTCAGTATAGGCCATAAGTAATAAACACACACACCCCATCAGAAACAGGAAGAAAAAAAAAAAAAGATTTTGAAAAATGTATGATGCTCACTCGTATTTGCCAATAGGATTACCATTTAAGCCTCTTGAGAGGACACCAATTAGTTTCTAGAGGAAGGATTTTTAGTGTATGAGGATTTGTAAATTGTTATGCAAATAACTCTAGACATAAAATTGCAGCTCCATGAGTACTGCACTATACATTTTATATTTCTTATTTGACATTTAAGGAAAGTATACTGAATTAACATAGTATGGTTTGTGATACATACTATTTGAGATGGTGAAAGTGACGAGGGGAGAAGCTAACACATCTTGAGAAATTTATAATATTCCATATATAATCATAGCTTAGAAGAGGATGCTAGCTTTATATTTTGTAGTAGACAAATTTCAACATAAACCTTATATGGCTAGGCTATAATTCACTTCCTAAATTGGGATCTACACAAAAAAAAGAAATAAAATAAATTTGAAAATCTTGAAGTTTAGGAAAACTCATATTCCTCAGCTTCAAATAATGGGTTCTGGGCCAAACTATCACAAAGTTGTCCTGACCTTTCCATGGGCCGTTGGAGGTCATGTGATGTATATTCTCCCGGAATCAAAAGTTATGTTCTTATTCTTCCATATGCAAACAAGCATTTTTTCGTCATATAATGCACTAGTGGAATCACATGCATTTGCTCTTTCATGGTTCAAACATGATACATTACCAAGCCAAGTCTATGTATTTCACATCATTTTTTTTTCGTTTCTACTTTTCATGGCTACTAGTGTCAATTTTGATTCACTTATAGGTAGATGAATTGATTTTGATTTTTTAACTGGCCAAATAGATAAGTTGAAATGAGTCAAAACCCTGCCCAAAATATGTTCAACTCACAAAACCTCCTAAATTGTTTGGTTTGAAAAGTTGAAGTGTTATATTGTGTTCAAATTCATAAACCTCCTAAATCGTTAACTTTTTTAAGTAATAATATAGTTTTGTGGTCATATTAATGCATAGATTAGTTCTAATATCTTAAAAAATGGGTAAAAAAATACTGACAAATCCAATATCTTTTGACTGGTAGTAAAATATTCCATGCTATCTAAACTTATTTTGATCTGTTGGTCAACTATCAACCTGTAAAAACATGTTACTTTTTACCTCTAGACATGGCAATGTCTATACCATACCTTGGCATGTAGGAGATGATGGTGAAGGTCAGATTCAAAACTAAACAAACACAGTCTCAAACCAAAGTCCTTGTAAATTCCATCCAAACTATTTACAATTATTTTTTGTTAAACACAATCACGAATTGAATGATTATTAACTTTATGTTGTAATGGATGATTCAACAAAATCGATCACCTTTTTAAATGAAAAAAGAAAGAAAGACATATTTATATAATTATTTTGGTCAATGGGTTTAAATCTATGTTTTTTGTCAAATTGTAGGAAATGATAACATACTCTATTTTCTCCATCAATCTATATAATAATAATAATAATAATAATAATATATGTATATGTTTTATCGATAGTATCATTATATAGGATAGAACTTATAAAATATGCTTTATTTCTCACAATTATTTTAATTTATTTTGAATGTCATAGTAGTCACACGGATAGCTTGAAATTTCTAGTGCAACTCCATTAAAAGGGAATTCTATGAGCGATAGATAGATAGCGATAAATTTAAACCTCTTATTATTTTGAGTTATATGTTACTAATAATTATGACTGCTAACTTTAATTTAATTAAAACGTTATTAGGCTTGTAAAGAGAAACTACAAAAGGCGATGGAGATTCACTTTTAGCATTAAAGGAATATGAACTTGATAAATCAAAACATGTCATGCAAATCTTAAATTATTGGTTACCATATATAGTTATTTTCACTTTAAGACCCGTTTTGGCCTTGTAAGGTAAAATATGTGAACCGAGGCCATCATGGGTATGGAAGATTTTGATACTTTAGGACTTTAGGTCTTCAATCTGTTTGATGTTTGTTGAGAATTGTGTGTGAGATGTTCAACTTGGTGAAAATTAATGGAAAAAAAAATCTTTCAATTTCAACATCAACTTATTACACACACTTGTTTATTAAACTTTAAAGTAGGTCTCCAAAGTATGAGATTATTTTATACACAACATGAGGGACTGTTATTAAGAAGTTTTAAATTGTGGTGTTCTTCTAGCTACTTCCAAAGATAAAGGCCTAAAGGGTGTGGCCATTGACCATTGACTTTTTTTAGTTAATTCTAAACAAATGTAGGTTAGCTGTTTATAGGCTCAAAACGCCACAAACATTTGACATAGAAAAGTCAAATATGCTGACATAGTAGTAGTACAAGGGTAATAGCCTTGTATCTTTTGCAAGAAAAGAAAAAGAAGATCAATGGAGGATCTCAATTACATCTTCTCCCATCTCCTATTCCTGATCCTAATCCTACTTCATCTTCTTCATAGTCATCCCTCATCAGCATCATCATACAACTGCCCAACTTCCTTGTGTGGTGCAACTCCATACTCTGTTCACTTTCCCTTTCGTATGATGGACCAACAAGCAGACGTGTGTGGCTATCCGGGATTCGATCTTGAATGTAACAGCCAAAACAGCGTGACATTAAAGCTTCCGAATTCAGGAGAGTTTTTGGTACGAAACATCGATTATCGATCTCAAATTGTGCAAGTTTATGATCCATCAGGATGTTCTGCTGACAGGCTTTTGAGTTTGGACCTGTCGGGTTCACCATTTTCAGTCTCCCCAATCCGAAACTACACTCTTTTGAGCTGCCCGGTTGAACTCACAACCTCTCGTTTCCCAATTGTCAGTTGCCTCAGCAATTCTACGTATTCTACTGTAGCCACTTCTTCTGTTAGTTTTGCTATGTTAATGGCTAACCGCAGCTCTTGCCAGATCATTGGTTCTTTATGGAGTCCGGTATCAAGGTATCAAGGTCAAGAAGGGCTCACATCTAATCTAAATATGGATATATTTTTGACATGGGATTCCCCTAATTGTCAAGATTGTGTAACACAGGGCGGGGCTTGTGGCTACACAAATACCACTATGGAAGAAGTTGCATGCTTCGATATTACCAAAAAGGGTAAGCATTTTTTATTTTTTTTTTACTTAATGGATTAAGCACTTAATCATTTTTACCTACAAAAGCCAAAAAAAAAAAAAAAAAGCTTAGTATTTTCTTTTTTGGAATGTAATGTTAAATGATCATTTAGCCTCTTTTCAGACGTTTTATTTAGTCAAACGACATCATTACTTACCCTTTTACAATTTACACTACTTAAAGCAAAACCCTTTTCAAATTATTCCGAAATAATGAATCACATTTGCAATTTCAGGAAGTAAAAAAGCAATGATGGCATTGATAATCGTCTCCATCGGCCTAGCTCTACCAGCCATAGGAATCTCCATTCTCATGATATACTACATCTGCATTGACTACAGAAGTGTAGCCACATGGATTTCAAGAAACAATGCAACACCAGCTACCGCCATGGTGACGCCAGAAACCAGCGCCATTAGCCGTTTGGTGGCGGGTCTGGAGCAGTCGACAATAGAGTCGTACACGAAAGTGGTTTTAGGGGAAAGCATGCGTCTTCCAGGATATGGACATGAAGATGCAACATGCTCGATATGCTTATCTGAATATGATGTTAAAGACATGGTTAGATGTATACCAGAGTGTAGACATTGCTTCCATGCTGACTGTATTGATGAGTGGCTAAGGATGAAAGGGAATTGCCCTGTTTGCAGGAATTCACCTTCTCCCCCTCCCTCACTTATTATAACAACTTAACATAATATATATATATATATATATATATATATATATATATATATATATATTCTTTTTTCATCTTTTATTCAATACTTTTTCAAGATTGCACATAATCAATATCTCAACTGAAAGCAACATCACAAGTTAAAAAAGAATTGTAGGATGGATTAATTTTAGGAAATTAATTATAACCAATATTTTGGTACATGTTTTTTATATAATTATTATTGCTAATTTGACATCATTATAAATTAAAATCCTTGGATACTTGTTTATTTCTAATCTCTCATCATCAAATACTCGACTTGTGATAATATCAAAGCCTTAGTCATGTTAAAGGAGATACCTTTGCTTCCATTTCAAATTAATGCAGCTTTTCCTGTTACAGATCAAAACAAGTATTACCCGCAACTCCATTATAGCATGTACCAATGATATGAACATTTTTATACACTAAAACCAAATTCATCAGGTAGGGGACTTTATAGATTTATTATTTTCTGAGCCATATCACGTATATTAAGAAGCTTTAATACATCATTTCATAAACATAACAAACAGGATCAGGAAACATTCCAATATTAAGAAGCTATAAAAACAAGTAGAAATAGAAATAGAGCATTCTGGAATCACTTTTTAGCAAGCAGCTTCTTTGGTAACCTCTCAATTGGTGTGGTTTTCAGAAGGAAAAGCCTGGCTGCACGTTCTTGCAAGGTGCCCCCACACTTTAATCCCCTTTCTTGAAGCTCAGATTTAAGCCTTTCCATACCAACAACCTAAAAGCCAAGAAAATTTGAGGAAAACAAAATTGGAAAAGACAAATGCAATCAATATAAACAGATTGAAGCATACCTCCATTTCTACTGCTGAGTTGAACTCCTCAAAATTTATTGGCTTCTCCAAGACAGGAGGAGACTCGGACACCACTTCTTCATTCACTCCTAATTTAGAATCAGAAATTTTCTCTTCTACATCATTTTGCACATTTGAAGCACTTGGAAGTACACTCTCTTTTTCTTCCAAGTCACCAAACTCAGCTTTGGTGGATTTCTCAGATTCAACTCCCAATACTGTTGTTTCATTTACAATGCTCTCTTCATGTATCATTGATGCATCATGATGAGGAAGTTCATCATTGGAATCTTTAATGGATCCCACTTGTCCTTCTGCAACAGTCTCCTTTTCTTCCTCTGATGCACTCTCGGATGAACAACCAACTGATGATTCTCCTTCAAGTTTCCCACCAGTAACAGATGCTAAACTTCCATCTGCTTCCTTATTGGAATCTGATTGCTTCTCAATGTTTGTAACCACGGATTTCTCATTCTCATCATCACTATCTTCCTCATCCATCTCATCACTGTCACTGTCATCCACTTTTCGCTTTCCCATCCTACAAATTGAATATAGATGCATGTTATGGAGTGCTTAAAATGGTGTGTTTGGTGATACTAATAATAATAACAAGAAGAAGCAAAATACTTGCGCTATAAGACTATCTACAAATTGCAAATGATATAATAATAAGAAGAAGAAGCAATCAACTCTTACCAGATCTTAAGTTTCTTAGATTTCGAACCAATACCATCCTCCACGTCTATCCCCGCAACCGTTCTCTTCGATTTTCGAAATCCACCAGCAAGTGATTCCCTAACCGACTTATCAACATCCTCCATACATTTGGCTGAATCCTTTCGATACTTCTCCACATACTTCTCCGCCCCATCGCCACCGCCGGCCTTTTTCACCGTCTTAACTTTCTTTTTAATGAATTCCTCCGCCACCTTCTCAAGCTTCCGCTCTTTCTCTTCAGCCAACCATTCCTCCATCTTCTTCTCCGCGTTCACGTGCCTTAGCCTCCGACCACTCATATCCCGACACGCATCGAAGTTATTCGTCTTCTTCTGACCAGCTTTCGTCGCCGCTCCACGAAGTAACGACCCAAACCCACCCTTACCTCCACGGAGACGAAGCAGGAGGTGCACCGTTGATGGTGAAGAATTCCCGTGGTACAATACACCATCGTCGAAAAGTGTTTTTCCGTTGGATAAGAGGAGTTGATAATGTACCGGTATCGATGTAAGATTTTGGATTTGTACTTTGATTGATGAAACTGGGATTATTGGGGTTTCGAAATTTAGGGTTCTTGATTTACCATCCAAGAGTTTTGCAATTACCTGATAGATTTTGGATTGACATTGCTCCATCAGAATCAATCACTCCAATTCCAACCGGAAAACGATCTGGTCGATGTGAATTCCAACTGAAAACACTTTGATCGAATATGAGTAAAAGGGCCTGTAAATGATAACTATTGCGATATCTATATTGAGCCCTAATTTGGTTTAACCGGGTCTTTACCGTTGACCCGGATAAATTCTTGTTGTTATTTTCCTTTTTGGCCCCTTCTTATTAAAGTGTAACCAATTTTGATCTACCAAATTAAATAATTTCCATTAAAAAAAATAACAAAAGTAGTCATTCTCTTAACTATTTAACAAAAAATAAAGATTCATTCATTTGTTTTTCGTAAAAGTAATTGTTAGCTTTTATTAAAAAGTAAAAGCTAAAAACTCTAAAAAAGTATTTGAAGTAGTTTTTGGATTTAAAGTCTTATGTTTAATATTAAAACTAAAAGCTTTTGCCGACAAACTTATTTTTTTTTCCAACTTTTCACTTTAAAGCTTAAAACTAAAGTTATGTTTTGGCGTACTGGGTGATAGCTGAAAAACTAATTGTTATGTGAAAGCTAGTTATTAGTTTATAAGTTAGCTGATAAAAAAAATGATGATTGGTAGAAACTAGTTGATAAGCTACTTGAAGTATATAAAATGACATTTAGAAGAACATTTTTTATAATTACTTAAGGATATATTTAGAAATTTAAAAAAAAAATCCTAAAAAACTCGTCTAAGTATCTTTATAAAAAACTAGCTTGTAAGTTACTTTTTGGTTTGCCAAACATGAAAACTTAAAAAAAAAAAAAAAAAACTCTAAAAATAATTTAGCTTATCAGCTAGCTGTGACACCAAACACAACCTAAAACTCTTAAAACCTATGACGCACTTAGACGATGCAACATAATTACCCACAATAGCAGAAAGTCAAACTTATACCAAAACATATTTAACACTAAATCATACACATTCTCTTAGCGATTCTTCAAACAAATTAATTTTAACTTCTAGAAACAAAAAATGTCATAAAATGTGTAAATACCTTTAGAATCTAACTATCTCTCAACACACGCCACAACCTTTTATATAGGAATGGTGAGCTAGGGACACTACTAAACGCTAATAAACACTTTAAATTCTAAGCTTATCCTCCTAGTAGCCTAATAAATAAAAAATATGATCCAATATAAGCCAACATTATAATATCCATGCAAACACTAGCTCAATGATGATGCTCCAAGTGAAATGATTTGTTAAGCTAAAGGAAATGGTTTATGCATGCGGCATAATCTGTCTTCACAAGAGAGATGAACCGTGATATGCACGGATCGCCTAAGTTAGAGGAAACCCAAATGTGATAATGAAGGCAAACATTTGTCACTACAAGAAACGAGACCTATGGTGACGACAAATATCATCAGTATGGGTTCAAAAGTCGTCCATATAAGTGCCTAAGACAATAAGTCATCGCATCGCCATAGCCCTCGTCACCACAACTTTGTTGTAATAGATCTCTTTTGTCCTCGACATAGGTACACTTTTAGCGACGACAAATTGTCGATGTAGGTTCGTGGCTATATGTTTCTAAGAAAATTAAAAAAAACTATACAACAACAAGTCATCCCCATAGGTGGCCCTGTATTGATGACTTTTTGTTCCCCTATTGAAAGATCTATATGCCTAAGAGTCATTATAAAATGATATTTGCTAATGACAAATGATCCTATGGGGTCAAACATTATAGCAAGTTATCACTAATTGATTATTTATTAAAGTAATTTGATTATTAACAAATATTATCAACACTTGTACTTAATTAGAAAATTATTAGTTTATGAAAATAATATTTTAACAACTAATTGAGAATTATTGTTTATAAAAAATAATAATAAAAGAGAACAAAGAAATACTAGTTATATTCATATGGTATAAATATACACGTTATATACAATTTATTTGGACACTTTGTATAATCATCTAGTTGGCATGTAACTAGCTAGTTAGTAAGGTAGAGTGTAACACACTCATGCTCCATACCTCCTTTATGGAGTCGTGGATTCTTTTCCATGTGAAGAGATTGTGTGTTGCTTTTGTTTTTACATGTCATGCTTGTAAGAAGAGACCATACCTTAGTTTATTACTAGTTTTGACTTTAGTACATATGTATATGTATATAAAGAGAGCATAAGCTAGTTTATTGGGTTGATCTTTGCATCTTTTTCTTCTATTCTTTGGCTGCCAAAACCATGAGAATCTAGTGCTCCTCCCCTCTCCTCTCTTGCAATGTGTAGTGTAGAGTTTGAGTGGTTATTAGATAATTGGTTTGTTTTGGAACAATGTATGTTTTGAATTTAGCCTGTCTAAATACATGTCTCAGTTAATTTATTAGATAATTTGGTTATTTACTTAATCGTTTCTCATAACGATCACATTCATATTTTGAAATGATTAAATTTTGTTTTTGAGAACTATATCTCTTAATAGAATTATAAAGTAAATATCAATGTTTTCTAAATAATAAGTTCTGTATGAAAAACTTTTGACTCAAACATGTTTTGAATCAAACTTATCTATGATATTGTTATCTTTATTATACAAATAAATACACATATTTCAACTTCAAGGGATTTTTGAAGGAAAATAATGTAGTTTATTTGATATATGTGAATATTATTTGTATATAAAAAAATTAATAATTATTAAGGAACTATATATAGTGATATATGACTTCCCTTTTAATGAATGTTTATATTTAATGCAAGATACCTAATCAACTTTATTAACAATTATAGTTGTTGTAATTATATTGTATATGGTAAAAGATAAATATGAAATCGTTTG